AGTTTGATAAAGATGTAGTAGATATGTGTGCATTAGTTCTAGAATTTAAGGAGATTGTGATATACCTAGAGCATTTAGACTGTGATGTTAAAGACTGCCTTAAAAGTAAAGAATTCCAATCCAGTTCTGTGGTTGAGAAAAAGTGTAAAGTGTTTATTGAGGAAATACATTAGGAACATCCCCTAGCAATTATACCAAATGGAAGCAAAGCTGGAGTTGACACTAGGGTTGCGAGTGATTGTTAGACTGGGGTTGAAACTGGAAATGTGATTGGAAATGAGGAGCACCATGTGGCTATACTGTTAAATAGCCGATCAGCTATACCGTATAGCCGCTCGGCTATACTCTAGGTCGGTCCTCTTTTTTCTTTTATTTTTTACTAGCCCCTTGGCACATGCCAATCGGTTTTCTTTTTTATTTTTTCTTTTATTTTTAGAATTAAGAAAAGATAACATGGGTAGTTATGTTCCATGAAAGTATGACCTATTATCTAATTTTTTTTTAATTTTAATTTTTTTAATATGAAAAAAATGTGAATTTACCATGTTATCCTCATTTAATTAATAATTTCAATTCTTAATGTTTGAATTAACCAAGGGCATTTTCTGGTATTTTGAATATTTTACTATTCTCTATCTTTTGCTTTATATATATAGATAAATAGTATAGCCGCGCAACTTGACTAGGGTTGTTTTTTTAATTCTTTTTTTTATAAATTGTATAGCCGTGCATCTATACTTTTTAGGGCTAACATCATTTTATCCCTTCCAGGTTTCGGATCATTCTTGAAATGGGCTATAGAGTTTCAATTTTGTCAATTTACTCCTTAACATTTTAAAATTTGACCAATTTACACGTTCTGTCTGTTTGACCATTTGGTCCTCTTTTCAATGATGACGTGGAAAAAGCAGGGTCCACTTTTTTGGCTTAGGTGTAATTAAATATTAAGAAATTATATTAGTTTTAATTATTTTTATTTTTTTGACAAACCCCCCTTCTCCCTCATCCCGACCAAACCCAACAAACCCTTTCTCTATCATCCTGCCCCCTTTCTCCCTCATCCCGACCAAACCCCCCAACCCCTTCCCCCTCATCCCGACCCTTTTCTCCCTCATCCCGACTCCTTCCCCCTCATACAACTACTAAAATTACTAGAAGAAACTTCAGAATTACTCACAGCGACACCATGATCAACAACTGCCTTCAAGGGCACCAATCCGCCATTATCTTCTTCATCAATATCTTTAGACTTAGGCATCTGCATTTGCCTCTTTACACTCATCGTCATTTGCTGACCCAAAACCCAAACTGGATGGGAATTGGAGGAACGCGTACACTTGAAAGAAAGGGTGAGATTGGGTTTTGTAGAGATCTTGTAGTTGTGATTCTTCAAAGAATTCTGATTAGGTGTTAAATCTTCAAGCCTCATTATCACCAAACCAATTGAATCAACAATTAACAATAGACGAAGACAGAAAGATTGATTTCAATAAGAAAGTTGTGTGATTTTGTTTCTACCAAAGTGGGTTTTGGCTAAGCGTGTGATTGATTTTGAAGGGTTTGTTGTATAATATGAGAATCAAAATGGAATGTGTGAGAGAGAGAGAGAGAGAGAGAGAGAGAGAGAGAGAGGTTACCAGATTCCGACGAAGCGAGATAGGAAAGAGAAAGGAATTATAGGTTTTTATTTTTATTTTAATCTATCAAAATAAAATAAATATGATTTCTTAATATTTAATTATACCTAAGCCAAAAAAGTGGACCTTGCATTTGCCATGTCATACTGACGGAACGTGTAAATTGGTCGAATTTTAAAACGTTAGGGCGTAAATTGACAAAATTGAAATTCTGTGGCCCATTTCAAAAATGACCCTAAACCTGGAGAGGGTAAAATGATGTTAGCCCCACTCTTTACATATATATAGGGCAAAATTGTAGCAATGGTCCCTAGATTATGCCCCAACTTTACTTTTCGTCCCTCATATTGCTAAATTGTTACCGTGGTATTTAATTATGTCTCAAGTTTTAGAAATCGTCCTTTTCATCATCTCAATCAACTTTTCCGTTTAATTTGATGACATGACATGGAAAAAAATGTTGTTTCACGCAAAAAATTTTAAAAAATAAATCTCATCTCATATAATCTCTCTCTCTTCCAATTTCTTCTTTCCCCACCTCCACCCGATTTCTTTCCCAATTTCTTATTTCCCCTCTGGCACAGATTAGATTGGCTGAATTTAAATTTCATGCAATCAACTTCTTGTGGCCTTGGTCTTGCTTAGTGTCTAGTCTTACCTGTTGATATTTATTAGGGGGTTTCACTAAAACACCCAAAATGGAGGCTGAAATTATAAAAAAACCCAACACCCAAAACACTTTATAAACACACCCAAAATCCATCATTACACACACTCAAAACCCATTTATAAACACGCCCAAAAAATATACAATTGTTGATTTTGGGGTTGAGTTTGGGTGTGTTTCTATGTTTAAATAGTGTTAGGATTTTTTTATAAATACATGTCTAGGATTGGGTTTATTTATAAATTTGTATATTTATTATTGTCAAATGTTGTTGTCTGCCTACCGTTGGCACAAGTGGCTAAGCTCCTTGGGGAGCAACAAACTCTCTCTGCCAACATGGGTTTACTATTTTACATGTACATGACTAGATGGTAGACTATTGCGGTGGGATGGGGGGCGATGGGTTCTGGGTTCATGGGGCGAGTGATGGTCATGGGGAATGAGGGGAGAAGAAATCAGTGGAGAGAGAGAGAGGGAGTTTTTTTTATATATATTATTTTTATTTATATATATATATATATAATAAAATAAACATTTTAATCAATTTAAAATTAATAAAAAGACAAATATGCCCTCATTTTTAACGGAAAAGTTGATTGAAATGATGGAAATGACGATTTCTGAAAGTAGAGGTATAATTAAAGTACAACGGTGACAATTTAGTAATGTGAGGGACGAAAAGTAAAGTTGGGTCATAGTCTAGGGACCATTGCTACAATTTAGCCTATATATAGTGATCTTTAAATAAAAATAATAATTTTCCCTGATTTTTGTTTATTGATAAGAGTAGTTTAGAGCATTATCCATTACTATTAGACCATTACTCGAGTCTTTGTTGTCCCATTTTGAGTTTTACTTTTGCAGAGTTATTACTCGTACAAAGAATTTAGCATTTTTTACGTTTAGTACTCATATTGTACACATACATACTTATTTTTCATGTTTAATACATTTGTTTTTCACAAATTTTTCAATAATACACATAAAATTCATGTATTATACACAAAATACCCACATATTATTGAATAAAAATAAAATTTATTAAAATATTAAAATACTAATTATTCACGAAGTAAATAATAATTAAAACATAACTACTAATTACAGTAATTAAAAAAGAGAAATTCAGATTATGATATTCAATGGGTATAGCCGCACGGCTATACTGTTGGAAAAAATTCTATTTGTAGAGTAATTCTAGTTATAACTGAAAGTAATTTGACTACTTTCACTATCATTCTCATCCTGCATTGTCTCTTGCTTTGGTTCTGAATAATCCCCATTGCTTTCAGATGCAGGTGCCTCACCAGTCTCCTTGACATCAGGAACTTCCTGAGAACCATCTGTTTCAGAGAAAGCATTTTCACTTTTTGCTTCAGCTGCAATGCAAGTACCCAGTTTCAGATTCATGAGAACAAAGACGAAGTCAAATCGTCAAGAAGCAACAGATCTGACGTTAGGGCTAGTGTATTATGCTTAGGACTAATGGGGAGAGGCATTGGAAAACATCACAAGCATTGATTTTCACTTAGATCAATAGCCAAAAAAGAGCTTGCACTTTGTTGGTATATCAGCCTTCTAAATTATCTAACATAGTAGAAAAATGAAAGCATTGGAGTGATATAAGTTACAATTCCAGATATCTATCGAATTGAATTTTAATAGCAGCCCTACCACTAACTTAGACAACCAAAAGAAAGAACAATAACCCTCATTCAAGTTCCTTACAAATGATGTGTCTGAATAAAACACACCACCATTCAATCAAAAGGCCTCTCAACAATCCTAAAAAAGTTCATGGAAATAATGAAAAGAATAAATGGCAATTGGTAATGGCAAGCTTCCCGATACACATGAACCAATTATAGATGTCGGCATTGAGAATGTAAAAACTGAATGTACAGAACAAGTGATCCAATTCAGCATGCTATGGAAGCAACAGGTATGTGAGTTCTACGCAAATTGAAATATGGTTAAGTGAGAATATTAACAAGGACGGTTTTCAACCAATCATGAATGTTTACTTAACTTACCTAAAATAGGTATTGGCTTGGAATTATCTTCATTCATGACTTCTCCTGTGATTACTAACAAATGGGTGTTGGAAACATTGAGGGCTTGTTTGGTATTCAACTTGAATTCAACTTTTTAAACTCAAAAACAGAATTTAAGTCCAAAACAAAGAAAACATGTTTAGTAGCCCTATTTTTGAAAACTCAAACTCAAGAACAACTAAAAAACACCCCAATTATTAAAAAAACAAAAAATATCTGTTTTTTTAATTTTTTTTCTAACAACCCACAAGTTCTCAAATTTTTAAGATTTGAAAACAGTTTTCAAGTTGCATACAAACAAGTTTTTGAATTTTAAAAATAAATTTAAGAACTCCTTGTTTTTTAGAAAAATAAAAGTTTTTGAGCTCCCTATTGGAATAGGATACCAAACACACCCTCAGTTTCATGAAATTTTTATTTTATTTTTATACTTTTACAATCACATATGGAATCAACAGGTACGAGAGTTCTATGCAAATTGGGGTGGGCTTCTTCAAAGCCCAGCTGCCTATCAAAAACCCTACTAGCCCATCAATCAATTTCGGGCCTTGCTTGCCTAGACTTCCCAACCAGCAGCCCAGCCCATTACGCAGGCTTATATCTGCTTACGCCGCGAACCACCCTTGTTGGGTTCTTCACCTGTGTTGTTGCCTTCTTCTTCCGTTGAATCAGTTGTTTGTTCTTTCAGTGACATCCTCAGATTCCCACTTATTTTTCCAGTTTGGCAGTTTCAACTCAATCTTCCAGAATCCAGCCTTGAATTGCTTCCAAAGGGCCAAAAGGTATTTCTTCTTTGACATCATAGTTTTCCTTTTTTTTTTCTTCTTGTTTATAGTCTCATTTCTTAGTTACAATCTCAAAGTGAGAATAAATTTTTCTTTTCTATTTAATTCTGGGTATATATGTTATTTATACAGATATATATCAGTGTCAGTTTCAATTTTCAGTGGAGTTTGAAGAAAAATTGGTCGAACTATAAATTTTTTTAAGGTTTCTGTTGAAAAAGCAAAATTAATTTTTTAAACAGTGGGCAGCTGCTTACTCCCTTTTCTCATAATAAAGTCCTCATTTCTAGTTGAAGTGTTACTTCATCTTAGTTGCTTGGTTAGTTGCTTAGTTCGAAACCAACACATCCCTTCTCCCAAGTTTTTGTTTTTTTTTGAAGTCATAGATTATATTATAAAGGGTTTGGTAATCAGGAACTCAGAGTTTGAGCTGAAATTTAAATTTACAAATCTAATGGGTCAGTTTGGCATTGCTGTGCTGTGAAAATAATCGCTGTCAGATTTGCTGTGACAGAAATCAGCTGTGAGAGAAAATAGTTTGGCGTTTGGTAAAATTTTTGTTAAAAGTGTTGTTGGTATTGATTTTACTCATAATCAGAAAATAATTGCCGCATAATCATTAAACCCAATGCCTCTTCGAAACTGATTTCTGCATAATCAAAAAATGAAAGTACTTCATTAGCTGTTTTCCCTTATAGCTTTCTCTCACAACAATTTTTAACAATAAGTGATTTTCTCACAGTTTACCAAACAGATTGGGCTTCTCAAAATTTTTAAAAAATCACTTATCACCCCAAATAAGCAATGCCAAACTGACACATAGACTATATAGGACATAAAGAGGAGTGAGAAATAAAGTTTTGTTTAGGAAATGGTGGTTTGGAGGAAGATTGGTGTGAGAATGTGACGGTAAAAAGTCTCACATTAAAAAGTTGAGAAACTTAGAGAGGGCTTAGAGCATCTCCACCCATAAGAGCAACTCTACCCATTTGCTCTTAGAGCATTTCCACCAGTTAGCCCCTTGCCATGGCAAGGGGAGCCCTAGGGCAGCTACTATTCCCGTGAATAGTGGCTGCCCTAGCCCCCCCAAAGCAAAGTGTGTTTACAGCAGTTTAGGCTTGCCATGGCAAATACTATTCATGTTTTTGTTTTTTTCACAACTTTGTTAACTTAAATAATTAATTTAGATAATATTTTCGGATAAGATTTTTCGGTTCCTATGTGTCAATACTATTCATATCGGATAAGATTTTCGGTTTCAAATTTCAGATACATTTCAAAATTCAAATTTCAGATAAATTCAAAATGTCAAATTTCAGATACATTTCGAAATTCAAATTCCAGATAAATTTCAAATTTCAAATTTCATTTGAATTTCAAATTTCAGATAAGATTTTCACCCTCTAAAATTGCGCCACGTGTCATCTCTATCTGCCTAAATTTTTCTATAAAATCAGAGGCTCAGCTCGTACCTCCCACACCATATCTTCTCTACATCTTCATTTCTCATATTTTAGATTTCATTTTTCAGATTTTAGATTTCATTCTCCATTCTCAATGTCAGACATGGAAGAGGTTTTGGAGAGGCAAAAGCGAGAAAGGCGAACAAGAATGCGTAGAAGAGCTGCAAGCAAAAGGGCGCAGAGAGAACTAGATGAGCAACTTGGTGTGGCCGTTGCTTTGCTGGAGGAAGAAAACCAGAGCCGTCGTGGTTCACGAGAAGGCCGGGCATCGAATGTGGACAGACATAGACATTCTCGGGGTAAGAATCTTATGGAAGATTATTTTATCTCACAATCTCTATACTCTGATGTTCATTTTCGAGCAAGATATAGAATGCAACCCCATTTGTTCAATAAAGTGAATAATGGTAGAAGGAGAAGAAAATGTATGAAGAGTTGGTGTTAAAAGTGAAGAGTATTGGTTGGTATTTATAGGAAAAAAAAATCAGTATTTTTTGGGTATTTTTAAAAAAAAATTTCAATTTTTTTTTTTCATGTTTTTTTTTTGGGAGAATATTGGCTGCCGTTGGATTGCTGGAAGAAATGAATCGGAGCGCCCAGATCATTGCCACGTGGAAGAGAGCCGTTGGGTGGGAGTTTCGATTTTTTTTTTCATTTTTTTATTCGTGAAAAATGGCTGCCGTTGGATTTGGAATAAAGTAGATCGGACAACTGTTTGGAGCGCCACGTGGAATACACCCGTTAGGAGGTCACTATAGCGAGTGCGTCAATTTTTTTTTTTAATGTTGGTGCGTGCGTTGCATGCGCCAACGTTAAAAAAATTTAAACAGCAACGCTGACGTCAGCCCAAAACGAGTTTTCCTCCTTGGGCCGAACCTCCCCAAGGGCTAGCCCAGGTCGCTGGGGCCCACACCTTGCCCTGGCATATTTTTGTTGCTGGAAACACCCTTTTGTGCTTGCCCCCCAAGGCCCTTTGCTGGAAATGCCCTTAGCCATTGCAAGGGGGGAGCTAGGGCAGCCACTATTCACATGAATAGTGGTTGCCCTTGCAAATAGTATTTTGTGTTTCCACCTGTTGCCATGGCATAGGGCAATTACTATTCATTTTTTTGTTTTTTTTTTCACAAATTTTTTTACCTCAATAATTAATTTGGATAATATTTTCGGATAAGATTTCCGAGTTCCTACGTGTCAGGACTATTCATAATCGGATAAAATTTCCGGATAAGATTTTTGAGTTCAAATTTCGGATGAATTTCAAAATTCAAATTTCAGATAAATTTGGGTTCAAATTTCGAATGAATTTCAAATTTCTGATAAGATTTTCTTCCAATCAAATCAAGCCACGTGGCATTTCTATCTTGCCAAAATTTTCTATAAAACCAAAGGCTCAGCTTATACATCTCACACCACATTTTTCTATATTTTCATTTCTCAGAGTTTAGAATTCATACTCCATTCATTCTCAATGGAAGATTTTAGGAGATGCTTGGAGAGGCAAGAGCGAGAAAGAAATTAGAGAAACCGTAGAGCAGATGAAATGAATGAGTTGCAAAGACAAATCGATGAACAAGTTGTCATAGCAGTGGCTTTGCAAGATGAAGAGAACCAAGGTCGCCGCCGTGGTTCACAAGTCGGCCGTCGCCGGAATGTGGACAGACATAGACATTCTTGGGGTAAGAATCTTTTGCAAGTAACAAAAAAAAAATAATGGAAATGCAATTAACCTTACAAATAAATTAGAAGTGTAAGAAATATTAAGAAACAATTGGAAATGCAAGAAATATTAACAAAATATTGAACATGCAAGAAATATTAACAAAATATTGAAAATG